TCAATCAGATAGTCAATGGCAGAGATAGAATTCAAATCCAGCTCCGCCTGGCTCTTCCCCAAAACACTGTTCTATCTCCCCGCCTCAGAGTCTCCTCCTCTTCTTCACCCAAAGGCTAAATTACCAGGCACACGAAGTCTTGTACATCAAGTACTAGTTATGCTTGGCCAAGCTCTGCGGCTTTGGGCTCTGCGTGGGTCAGTGAACACGTGAGGGAGGAGATTTACATATTAATCAAACTCTCCATCACAAAGCCATTTCCCTGCTTCACTTGTTCTAAACCACAGCGTGAAGCAGAATGACGGGTTCTTGTCCAGCTGGAGCAGAAGGCACGCACTATGCCCAGTGGTCCCCAGGCTATCGGAGCACACCCCGGCTCTGGTCCAGATGCAGAGGCCAGAACTGCCCCCAGAGACCTCAGGCCAGTCCACCCGCTTCCGGATGCTCCTGACTGCGTCCTGAAATGGGGCAGGGAGCTGCCTCGGCACCTCCAGTAACCCAAGGCATTGGGCGCCCTCCCATAGAAGAGTGGTTCCCTCCTGCTTTGGAAGGTCTACAGGAGAAGGAAGTCGTTCTACTCGAGTTTAACTCCACCTGCGGTATTCCTTACCCACAGAGCATGTGTTCCAGAAGTGTTTATAGAGCGAGAAAGGCTCCAAAACTCCCTCCACGGGTGAGCTGCCCTTTCGGGCTCACTGATGACTTCTCGCATTCAAAACACAGGTCCCACCCTATTTGCCCTGTCCCTAGCCCTTTGGGTATCTGCAACATTATCAAGTACCACCTAGAAGAGAAGGTACCAAAGGAAAGCAAAGGTAAAGGAAGGGGCCACATCGTGTTTCGCATCATTATAAAAAAAGGTTGCCTGTTACGTGTGATGAGCCAGGCAGACACTACACAGTCATTATCTCATGTGAGTCCCATGACGTAGAAATTGTGAGACCCCATTTTACAGATGTGGAAACTGAGGTTTGGAGAGGTCAGCCAGCATCGCCCGGGACTGTGAGATTAAGGCAGGATTCCAAGCCAACCTGGGTGGAGTGCAGCACCTCCACTGTCTGATTCCACTTAGACTAAGTCCCTTGTAGGAAGCCCAGAAAGAAGCTCACTCCTCCTAGCAGTATTTTGTTCTCAGGTGGGGAAAGAAAGGTCCAGAAAGAACAAGGATGTACCCAGCCTTACAGGGCCTCAGTGTCAGAGTCCCAGTCTTTTATGCATATGGCCTCTGCCGCCCACTGAACAGAAAGGCAGAAAGATGGAGAATCCATGAGAGAAGGAGCGATGGGGACTTGGGAAGAGGAAGAAAAACAAGTGATGGAGATGATGAGAACGGCTGCTTTCTCATCACGCCGGCCGGCCTCCCTCTGTGCCCATAGTCCCTCTTCCAGGATCGTTTCCAGACCTGCGATGAAGCTGCCCTACCCACTCCCACCGCAGCCTGGCTCCCTGGGAATGCCCAACCACCACAGCCCCCAGGCTGCCGAGAAACTTTAAACAGGCCTGTCTTGGGGTTCAAGGGTGGGGCAAAGAAACTGGAGCCTCAGAGGAAGCCAGCTCTACTCAACCAGCTCTAACATTTCTGTGCGGGGATGACAAAGAGGAGCAGCGCTGGGAGCCGAGAATCAGCACCCATGCTCTTCTGCCAGAACCCTGCCATGGCTCCCCACCACCAGGGACCAAACTCCTGGCCAGCCCAGCCTTCACGGCTCTGCCTGGCCTGGTCCTGCCGCCTCCCCTCAGCATGGCCCGTGGAGCTGCCCCTCGGCCTCGGTCTCTGCCACACGAGTGGTCACTCAGTTCCCCAGGGAAAGGGGCCGCCTTTGCTCATTCTTCAGGCCTTCGCAGGAGCTGGGCCTTCTCCCCTCCCCCAAACCCAGTCCGCCACACTTCATGCACCTGGCCCCAGTTTCAGTGTCACTTCCTCAGGGAAGCCTCCCCGCACCCGACAAGGCCCCTGTTCCACACTTTCAAACCACGGTCCTGGACTTCTCTTGGTACTCAGCACAGCCTGTCTTTACTTATTAATATCTGTCTTCTCCAAAAGTCTGTAAACCCCACGAAGATAAAGACCGTGTCTGCTCGCCATACTCCTCACTTCTCAGGGTATCACAGGGTACTTGGCATAGTAGGTGCTCAAAAATACTGAGTTAACGAATCAATGCCTAGTGCTCCAAGGGCTCAAATTCTGTAAGGAGAACAGTGACATCTAGTGGCCACTTTCACACCCTCATGAATGGGCCTCAGGAAGACCTCCCTGAAGGTCCAGAGTTGACTATTGTAAGGGAAGCTGGCGCAGAATTCAGAAATGAGGTCATCTGACTCCTAAGCAAAGAAGAAAGGAACTACCACTCCTCTGCTACCACGCATGTGCCAAGAGCACGTTGCCCAAGTCCCCGGACCGAGCTGGTATTGTGCCACTTATAGATGCGGAGGGCGGGGTGGCCCGGGATGGCAGTCCTGGGGTCAAGCTCACAGAGCAGTACCTGGGACTGTTAATAGCCTCACCCACCATGGCAGCTGTGTAAGGGGAGCTCAGCCCCTCACTGCTTGCTGACACAACACTGGTCGGACCCACCTTGGTCTTCACTGGAAGCTTCAACAGCAACCACGGGTGCCTGCTCCCACTTACATGCCCCCAGGGGACTCCTGCCCTGAAGCCAAAGGCGAGGAGACAGATGCGTACCTGCCTGCTGTGGTGTTGTTACTTTAGGGATTTCTGATGCACAGAATTAGATCATTCGAGATGCTTGGTTCATGACTCCAGCTCACTGTTGCACGACACAGTGGGTGTTAGTCAGTTAGCTAGTTTTAATTCTCTAATGAACTCCCACACATCCACCACTCACTACGCCCGCTGGGGACTTGACTAGGTAAGTGTAATGAACGCTCCCTCATGCCGTCACCCTGCCTCCCCGACTCAAGACGACCTTCACCCTGAATCCTATGCTCACCATTTCCTTGACTCCATTTCTAAATGGTTTACTGCATCTGTATTTATTCCTAAAAGGTAGTATATTAGGTGTGTGTGTGTGTGTGTGTGTGTTTATGTGTGTGTATTTAAACAAAATAATAGAAGGGGTATCATGCTATTTAAAATGTATCTTTGGGACTTGCTTTCTTTATTTAATATTATGTTCACTCATGTCATACTGTCACCACAGTTCATTCATTTGTGCCATTGGGCAGTATTCTATTGCATGCATATTCCACACCTTAACTCCATCCCGTGGATGGCCATCTGTATTCTCTCCAGAGGGCTCCTTCTGCCACACAATTCTCACCCTATCAGCCTCCTGCTGATTGTGTATCTTCAGCATCGCAATGCCCACCAGATAGGGTTCAAAGTCCATGACCCAGCTTACAAAGTCCTAAATGACCAGACTCCTCCTTACCCCTCTGGCCTCATCTCCGCTCTCCTTCCATATCTTAGACTGTCATCGGGAATTTCTTTCCACCTTTGTGCAGACCATGCTGTTTTCTGCCTTAGGTTGTCTACCTGATACTCCCCCTCATTCTTATTCTCATCCCTTCTTAGTCCTCAGAAGCCCTCACCACCCTCTGGCACCTGCTCAGCTCACTGGGATGCTAGGGGAGGGGCGTGTAAACCATCGCATCCTACTGGACTTGGTCAGGGGTCCACCAGATTGTCTCCTCTGGACGCCCAGAGCTATCAGGGAGTTTCTGTAGAGAGAAGAGTGGGGACCTAGTAGAGACGCTTTATCCACCTTCCTCCTCCTCATTGAAAGAGTGGCATCACTATTCCTGCTTTTATGGATCGGGGCTTCTGAAGACTGCATGTGAAAACAGTGTGCCATGAACACGAGTTTGCACACCAGTGAACCAAATCATGCATATGGTCCCCTCCAGTCCTGGCACACTGTAATTGAAATTGAGAGACGCAGAAAGAGGAAAAAGAGGAGATGTCATTTCACAATGAAGCGTATCGTCTCTAGAGCAAACCAACTTTCAGCAAATCACTGAGCATCTTTGAGGTTTGCTCAGTTGTAAAGCAGGTATGACATTAAAATGAACCATATGGAATTGCCCCTTTCACTAACAAAAGATTGTCAAATATCCGTACTTTCTTTTGAAGCCACCCAATGTTTATAAGAAAAGTAGAGCTTTGAAAGGTGAATTAAATAAGGTGACCCAAGGGCAGTGCTGAGGCAGATACCACGAGTTTTTCACCAGACCCATATCTCCTCCTAGAAGCACAGATGGAATATATGTCCCTGTCTCACTGCACACAGGTGTGCCCAGGGCTGAGTTCTAGCCACTGGAATGGGAGCTGAAAGGACAGGTGCCACGCTCAGCCTGGACCCACTTCAGCTGCTCACGGCATCCCCCATGTTCTTTCCTTCTCTACCTCAACTGTGATGGAGCACAGGACAAAACAGGCTGGATCCCTGAAGTGCATCTCAGAATAAAGCTATGTGTCGAAAAAATAATTGAGCCCCAGCCAGTTCAGCTCAGTGGATAGAGCATCGGCCTGTGGACTGATGGGTCCCAGGTTCAATTTCAGTCAAGGGCACGTACCTAGGTTGCAGGCTTGATCTTGGCCTTGGTCTGGGTGAGTGCAGGAGGCAACCAATCGATGTGTGTCTCTCACATCAATGTTTCTCTCTCTCTTGGTCTCTCCCCCTCCCTTCCACTCTATCTAAAAATCAATGGAAAAATATCCTTGGGTGAGGATTAACAAAAAATTGAATATATTTTATATATATATATGACTGACTCTGCACAAACAAGAAATAACCTATATTGTATTAAGCCAGAGATTTGAGGGTTTGTCGGTGATAGGAGCTGGTGTTATCAAGCTGTATATGTACTCAATAAATGCTAGTCATGATGATGATGATGATGAGATGATGATAATGATGGTGGTGATTATGGTGGTGACAACAACAACAATCCCAATAGACCAAGGGCCCACAGGGCAGGAGTAGGAGGGTTGGTACTTAGACTAGACTTAGTGCTGGTGTCGGGGGCTGGGGGCTTACCTCCTTGGTGCCATTGTCCTGGATGAGGGTGTAAAGTGGTACCACACGGTTGATTTCTAGCAGCACCGGTGTGGGGCTCAGCTGCTCCTTGCCTGGTCGGCGGCAAAGGTGGCAGGTAGAGGGACAGCGGCCTTTCTCCTCACAGCGGATCTCCACGCCTGAGATGAGGTGGTCATCTGACAGCATCTGGGCCGTCAGCAGACCTGAGAGGTAGGTGATGAAGGGCATGGACTTGAGCTCTTTCTTGCTGCCCAACTCCGTGGTCTCTGGAGAGGGAGAGAGAAATTCAGCATTGTTCAAAAGGTCGGGCTCCTGAACCCACCATGAGTCCTGATGTGCTAAGGACCTGGTGTCAACAGGAAAGGAAAAGAGATGACAGAGTGGTTTGTGCATCATGCTTTGTTAAGAGCATTGGCCAGATGGTTCAGAATGGAGCCTTGTTCTACCATTTACATTAAATATCTCCCTTGCTCTCTTTGGACCTTACTTTGTACACATTTAAAAATGGCAGGTTGGACTAGAGCATTCTCCAAGGACCTTGCAAAATGTTAATATTCAAAGATTTTTTTTCCCAACCAGAAATTCCTTTCTTCGATTGTCAATTTACAGAATTGTTACCTTTCTTTTTTAAAAAGTATATTTTACTGATTTCAGAGATGAAGGAAGAGAGAGAGATAGAAACATCAACGATGACAGAAAATCATCAATTGGCTGCCTCCTGCATGCCCCAGACTGGGGATGGTGCCTGCAATTCAGGCATGTGCCCTGACCTGGAATCAAACTGTGGCCTCCTAATTCATAAGTCGATGCCCAAACACTGAACAATGCCAGCCGGGCAAGAATTTCTACCTTTCTTTCATGAACTCTCTCCAGTCCTATATTTTTCATGAAGTCCCATGGAGCAGGGGAAACACACGCTTTGCAGTCAAGTCAATTTCCGTTTAAATCTCAATTCCACTTGATAATAGCAATGCAACCTGGGAAAAATCTCCCAACCTCCAAGAGCCTATAGTAACTAACTCCCAGGTTGATAACACCAATGGAAACAGTTCTGAGTGATACATGCGATAGGAGGAGGTGGCCCTGTCTGGAAAAGACATCTTTCCCCCTTTCTTTCTTTGTTCATCTGTTCCCCGGTTCAAACTCTTTTCTCTCCTTCTTCTCCGTGCACACGCTGAGATCTGATTCATGCGTGCTCCATTCTGTGCTGTCTCGCTTCATCCTACAAAAAGTATCTCCCATTTCTGTGCCTTTGCTCACCCTGTCCTATGTTTCCCATCTGCCTCTCCAAATTTCTACCACCCATCCATGCTCCATTCCAATGTGATCCTCTTCAGGAAGTCTCTACTCCTGGCCCCAGTCCCTCTTCTATGAACAACTATTTCCACTTGCAAGACCTTATCTTGTTAAGCTCATTGTCTCATCCCATTTTCTGCTGACCTCTCCAACCATAGTATCAGGTCTGGGAGACCAGGGACCACTCCTGTCCCCACCTCTTTGGGGCCTAGCAGGATGCTAAGGATTCACTTGAGACTTAATCAAAGAGGAAGATTATAGAACTCGGAATGGCTAGAATGACATTCATGACCAAGTCTAAAGACTCCGACATTCTCCTGAGGAATTCTAGGGATCCCAGGAAGCATCTCAGCAGCTACTGGAAGAGGACAAGAGGAAAACCCAGCAGGCAGAAAACTCCAAACCCACATCTCAAATTCAAATAGAGCAGTTCCACTTCTATCTGTTTGACAGACTGGCCTTCTACCTAAGATTTCTTAGGAGAGAGGGGTCAGTGGTATATCAAAAAGCTTGAAGGAACAAAATGATATGTACAACCCAGAGGGTTCCACTTACGTTGCAGACTATGCGTGGGATATCTTCAATGCACAGTCTTAGTGGCAAAACAGGAAATGGTGGGGGGGGACTGGACTAAGGGACGAAGCTTGCTACAGGTGGCAGCTTCTTCCAAGCCTGGTAAAGTCAAGGCAAGCTCCTGACTCAGTGGAACCACAGGCCCTGGGCCCCAGTGCCTGGCAGGAAAAGAAGGGTTGTCTCCTGCTTTTGCTCTGGGCCTGCAGTGACACGCAGCTGAACTGGAAATGGGCTTACCAGTTGGAAATACAAATAAGTGCAGCCTTCATTCATTACTCTCTGGGCCCTCGGGCCTGGGATCTGGGCTCCACCTTTTCTGTCTGGCTGTCAGCAAATGCTTATGAGCCTCAGATCAAAGGCTCTGGGGGAGGAAGACGAGGCGTATTCCAGCTCACCAGTCCTTCAGAGGGATTAAAGATGGGTAGTTACCCAGATAAACAAAACAAAGATGTGAAGGAGGCATCTCGGCAGCTGGGGAGATGGAGACAGTCTTGCATACAGACACTTTTGGAAGTGCAGGTCATAGGGACAGTTTTGGAGAAAAAATGACTTCAAACTTGGGAGAGAATAACCATTCAGGAGAGAAGGGGAAGGGGTATTAGAGCTGCAAGGACATTAGGGAGCCATTAGCATACACTCTGACCCAGAGGTCAGTAGACAATGGCCCATGGGTCAAATCCAGCCCTCTGCCTGTCATTGCAAATAAAGTTTTATTGGAACATAGGAGCCCTCATTCTTTTTTTAAAAATATATTTTATTGATTTTTTACAGAGAGGAGGGAGAAGGATAGAGTCAGAAACATCGATGAGAGAGAAACATTGACCAGCCGCCTCTTGCACACCACCTACTGGGGATGTGCCCGCAACCAAGGCACATGCTCTTGGCCGGAATCGAACCTGGGACCCTTCAGTCCGCAGGCCGATGCTCTATCCACTGAGCCAAACCGGTTAGGGCAGCCCTCGTTCTTTTTATTGTGTATGGTTACAATGGCAGAATTTAGTAGCTGCAACAAGGACTCCATGGCCCACAAAGCCTAAAATATTTACTACCCAATCCTTTGCAGAGAAAGTCTAGCCTTAGGTTATCAATGGGGAAAGTGAGTCTCAGAGAGGGGTCCACCTATAGTCAAACAGGAATGTGGAAGAATGATGGATTAGTTAAAGTAAAATCTTTGGAATTAATTAGACCATCAGTACACTTGGGTTGCGCCTTTACAAGGAGAATAAAGTAGGACATCTTTTCTTCAGAAGACAGCTTTCCAAAACGAGTGAAAACCGCACCTTTGGAGAAACACTAACCTAGTACAGCCTTCCCGTTTTAAACAAGAGGTGATGGTGTCCCAAGGAAGGAAAATGACTTTGCAAAGTCACCCGGTGAGTTAGTGATTCTTTCAGCACGTGGCCCCGGTCTGTCTGATAATCAATACACCACTTCAACCATCGTTTTTATGTGTTATTTTATGTATTTTTAAAAATTTTTATTGATTGATTTTAGAGAAAGAGAGAAACATCGATTTGTTATTCCACTTATTTGTGCATTCATTGGTTGATTCTTGTATGTGCCCTGACTGGGGATCAAACCCACAACTTTGGCACATGAGGTTGATGCTCTAACCAACTGAGCTACCCAGCCAGGGCTTATCTCTTGTTACAAAATGCAGATGGCCTGCCCCTCATCGCACCTTGCCATTTGCACATAAGGTCATTGGGAAGGAATGCAACATTCCCTTGATCACACATTCATAGCCATTGGGTTAAAGATATAACTACCCATTTAACAACAAAACGAGCTACAAATCTTTGCTGGTCTGCTCTTGTCTCATAAATCTTTAGCTTTTTCAATCTATCAGGTCAACAAGTGGAGTTAAAAGCCTGGTGTCTGGGCTGAAAACGGCATTGAAATAGGACAGAATTCACAGCCGAACTTAAGGACTGGTTTTGCAAAAGGAAGGCACTTGGGTATCATCTGGTCCAACTAAACAAGGAAGGAACCCAATGCCTAAATAGAGAAAAGCATTTACCTCTAAGTCCCATGTGCACTTATTAACAATGGCCCTTTTGGTAAAGACTGTGTCCTGCCTACGTTATGATCTGGATGAAAGTGGCAACAGGGAAGACCTTTAGCCATCCTGTTAATGACCCCTCTGAAGACTTTACAACCGCTAAAGCTAACTGCTTCTGACACCTCACGCTGCGGCTAAAGTCATCTTTTCAAAAGGTGAAGCCTATATTCCCCTCCTGCTTAACACTCTTCCATGGCCTGTCACTGCTTTTAGGAAAAAGACCAAAATCTTTAAGATGACGCGTAAGTAGTGTGGGCTCCAGACAACCTGTCTGCCTCTCCAATCGGATCTCGTACCCTGCTGCTCCTAGTTCTTTAACTTTCGGCCGCACTGGCCTTTAAGTTGCTTGCACACGCGCTGTGCCTCCCTAAGTCTCGGCAGATGCTCTTCTCTGTACAGAATGCTTTTTCCATCCCACACCCAGCCCCTGGCTTCTCCTGGCTCATTTTCACTCATCCTTTAGATCATAGGTCAAGGGCCAATTCCTCAGCAAAGCCTTCCCTGAGCTCCACCCCACATGCCACCAATCTAGAGTAGGGTTTCACATTAAAGACCCTCTTAGCATCCTGCTCTATGGATCATCCTGTGCTATGGAACTTTCCAGACTGAAAGTTCGATAAGGGCAAAAACAGTGTTAGTCTTGCTGATCCCCATACGTATCCACGTTACACAGTACCTGGAACACAGTAGGCTTTCAATAATACTTTCAATAACTATTTATTGGATATATAATATATTTATGTATCCTGATCATTGTGCTCTTATGAAAGCACTGATGAGTCTCAGAGCCAAGATTTGTGAATTTCAAGATTGACAATCAACCTGGCTGGTGTGACTTTGTGGTTGAACATTGACCTATGAACCAGGAGGGCACGGTTCGATTCCCAGTCAGGACACACGCCCGGGGTTGCAGGCTCTATCCCCAGTGTGAGGCGTGCAGGAGGCAGCCAATCAATGATGCTCCTCATCATGGATGTTTCTATCTCCCTCCCTCTCTTCCTTCCTCTCTGAAATCAATCCCATATAATAAAAACCTAATATGCAAATCAACTGAACGGCCAGTCGTTATGATGCCCCTGATCACCAGAGGACAGACACTCAACACAGGAGCTGCCCCCAGCCCGCAGGCCCCGACCAGCAGCAGCAGCATGGGGGGGGGGGGGGGGCGGCGAGCAGGCGGCGCCAGGCCAGCCAAGGCGGGTGCCAACGGGGCCCCCCAATCACCCCACCGGTCGCCCCAGAGACTGGCCCTGATTGCCAGCCAGGCATAGGGACCCTACCCGTGGACAAATTTTGTGCACCGGGCCTCTAGTAAGAATATAAATTTTAAAAAAG